ATGTGGTGCAATAAAACTTATTAGTAGAAAAATGCTATAATATTTAATGGTAAATTGTTTGTTTTTAGTATGCTATTATAAGGACGGCCTTTTTGCTACCATCGCAAATTATCCAAACCACTCACATGTATTATCAAATAAGATGGCTGTATCCTGTTCGATAGGGAATTTTCGTTAGCTCAGCTACATCTTCAACGGATAGCCCCTCATCCTAGGGTCCGTTGACCTATTAGAAATGGTCATGAAGTTGTGAAACCACTTTCAACAGCCATAAGGAAGTCTTCGGGCATAATTACTGTGACCAAAAAATCGTTCCCAACTGTCTAAAGGATATAAAGATAAATTCTTTGGGCGTTGATCAATCCCATCTGGGTGATGCGCCCCCGCATTCGACCTTCATCCAGAATCGCAGTGGCGTATTGAATGCATGTGTGGCCTAAACGACTACCTGCGGTGGCCACCCGATGTGCAAGTCTGATGATACCAATCAACCGACCTCGATGAGATGGAGGGCTTAGCCGGCCTAGGCGGGTCGATCGATCCGGGATTTAGGCCCGTGACCATGCATGTGTGATAGTATCCACTTATGCCCATAAAAAATAGAGAAGTAAAAATAAATTTCAATGAATTTTCGTCTAATACCATTCAAATGCCTTTCAACTTTGAGTTATGGCCACTATTCAGTGCGAATGTGTAAATCGGAGATTCCCTTCCACTGCGTAGATCGTCTGATAACCCTACGTGGCCTTGTTTCGTGGCACATCACCAATTACGAAAGCCCATGGTGAAAACATTCTGTTTATTCAAATGTTATCAATTTTGTTCGGGAAAAAGTCATTCACCATTCAATCGGGAAATCAATATTTGGTTTTATTTTGGAACAGAAAAGAATGGCTAATGCCCTTTTTGACAATAGGGGCTTGTGCGAGCAAAAATCTATTTAAAGAAACAAAGAAAAAATTATATGGGAAAAAATCCTGCAAATTTTCTCGCATTCAAAGAGGCACAGCTCTACTCACTTTTCGATTGCAGCGGACCAGAGAGGACGTTGTAGGAGCCTAAGCTAGGTCTCAAACCTACTATCGCTCGAGACTCCTGGAGTAGGACGTGTTTAATGGCATTACAGAGGCTGATATCATTCGGAATGGAGCACGTTTACTGTAAATGCAGCCGGCTGATATACGTTAACAGCTAATACCCATTGCTTCTCGACGACCGAAATCTCGCCCAGAACCCCTTTCGACGCCATAACTTCGCCCAACGTTGGAAATAATCAACCCAAAGTTCATTCTGGAAGTTTAGTGGAGATTCTCGTTTTCTTTGCTCCTAGTACTGTACCCTACTGTCCAAAAGAGGTGCACGAACCTACTGCAAACTGCACCTTTATACAAAATGTGCTGCATACGGTTATAAGTTCTCATTCTGAATAGCGTCGCCTAATTGCCAGTTGCTGTGACCGGATGGCGTCGTGCAAATCATTACGTTACATGCCATTATACGTAAAATTATACCAAAAAATGGGTTCGCGGTAATCAGATTAAAATCGTCACACAAATGTAAGAAACCGGGTTCCGTTCCTAACCATCAAACTATCCATACCGCCCCTTTCAAACTGACTTTAACAGTTGAACAGGTCGGAGCTACGAAGTTGAAGTGGCCTTATTGATGTTGTCCAGGAAAACTATGAACGTAGACTAGAATGAGACGGTCATATGCCACGTTTTGAAGGCAACCGGTGATTCTTCCGTCTTACGAGCTGGATCCCATTGAATCACAAGCGAGCGCTAGGGGAATGTCACAATTGAGGTGGGCCGAACCGATGGTGAATATGCTTGGCTAACAATGGAGACGACGTGCCCATGACCGGAACCGATGGCTCAAAGTCGACTTGTGTGAATGGCAAGGACAAGTTGGGTACAGAGAATACAGGCGGTTCGAACACTCACGATGGGGTCAAGCCACAGTTAAGTTCCACCTCGAAATTGGCCTTAAAATAAAAACTCAGAAAAAAATCACTAAAATTACTTGTTCCATAGATAGAAGGACTGCAGGGGAGGAACAGGACGGAGGTGGTCAGCAGATTACCCCTAATTAGTGTAAGTGTAGTTCCAAAGAGTTTGCCTAAGAAGCAACCACAACCCTCTCTTCCGAAAAGGCTTAAGGTGCGTTTCTATCAAAAATAGACTAGGAACCGATCAATAGATATAGAATACACACTGGCCATCCTATATGAAAAGGTAAGAACAAAGCTTTGAAATAACGGACAGATGATTAAGAAAAAGAAGAGGATGAAACAAAACAATGGGAAAAAAGAGAAAAAATAAAAAGGGCTGAAAATTTATGGCTTCAGAACCAATTGGGCGATAGCCAATTCAATTGTTATTCTTTGGTGGCTTTTTTTCTCAATCGATGCTGAGTGCAGACGGCGGGCGACCGGAGCAAAAGGTCTCCCCGTTGCCAACATTAACTCAGCACCCTTTGCGAGCTACAAAAACCGTTGCCCTCCTCTGTCCTTCAAAATGGTTCAAAGTCCCTTTTTTCTGAACCAATTTTTCAAAATTCTGGGTTAAATAGCCATGGTTTGGCCTGGTACTTACTTGAAAACTGATTCCATTGAGGTCGCGAATACAGTTTCCAATGCTGACGGTGGCGGTATTCTTCCATAGTTGGAAATACAGGGGAAGATAGTGATTATTTTATTTTGAATGCATCCATCGCCAAAAGGATCGTGGAGACGTTCAGACAGGATCGAACCCTCGAGGTAGGACTCGAGGTCATCCTCGTCGAACTCACGAAAACCGCCAGCACTTCGACAACCAGCTTGCTGCTGCGATGCAACGACCATCGACTGTTGATCGACTCACCACCGCCTGTACTCGCTCGTGTACACACACAATGAGCGAAGACGATTCAGAAAGAGCAAGCGGTACAATCGATGAGCGCTACAGAATGGCAACGGAGGAAAGTGCACGGAGTGCGGTGTACGCAATCGAGGTATGGCAATAGAAATGGTTCCGGGTCGGTCGTTGTCAATCAAGGACCCCCTCGTCGTGTGTGAGGCAAGGCCTTGATGGACCGGCCCCCAGAAAAAAGAATGGAAGAGTGGGCGGGCGTGGGTAGGCGGGAGATTGTCGCGACTTCCGACAGGGCGATGATGATTCGATCGCGCAACTGGGCGAAGGCCTATGGCGTCTAAGCTAGCGGTGAATGACAACGATGTTTCTCTTCGCCGTTGGAAGACGGCCTCGGCAGCTCAGGCGGTTACGATGATGACTAAAGAGAGCATAATGGCTGTAGTGAGATGTGCAGAAACCTAGTCAGCCTGTATGGACCAGAGTAATGCTATGAAACTTCGACATTGGTTTTGCTAAAGCGGCCCAAAGAATATCAAAAGATGGAGACCATTGTGAATGATGGTAGCTTCCTTGAAACCAATTCAGGCAATCCCCGAACCAGAATACCAGCAAATACTGAACGTTATTCTAGTCAGCATCAATTATTCAAAGAAGGAGGTGGTTCCGTGCCAAGAGGCGCCCTAACAAACCTGGTCTGAGGATCGATTTCAAGCTCGTTAAACGCCTGGATCAACAAAGTCCCAGGTTAATCCGTAACAGAATCGCCTCGAAGGAAAGAACACTGACTTCTATATCGACCAGCCTTCGAAATCATTCTTCAGGACACAGTATCCAAAAGTCACTATGATTCTAATTGGAAGTTGGTCAGTCAGAAGACTCAGTGTTATCACTTCTTCACCTGAATTTCTAACAGAACCTCAGCAGGTTGCCAAATGTGAGGACTGCATCACATAAAAGCGTATTGCTAACAGCAGAGAAGGGATTCACTTTCATTCAATGAGTGGAACCTCTATTCAGAGAGCAGTTAGAGGGGGATTTCCGTGATCTACTGACATTACTGCCTGCCTTCTAGTACGATCTCCCTCCAGCCAGTTCTTACTAGTTCTGTACCACCGTTGTGTCCGAAGCGTTTTAGGACGTGCGCGTAAACCCATCTATGGCGTTATGGCAGCAATGACCAGAACCGAAGTGGCAGGTTGTATAGCAGTAGCTCACCCGGCTATCCTTTCCCGGAAAATACTTGGTTTTTGCAGTAATTTCGAAAGAAACAGAGCTTCTCCGACTGCAGGGTGGTCTAGACCGACTGTCAATCGATGGTTTAAGAGTACATTATGAACTGACATAAAAGTACTCCGTTTACGATGTGTACAACCCGTTCGTCCTTGTCGTAGTCACGAGGACACAAAACCCTGAACCCCTTTCGCTTTTCACAGAGGGTCGTTGAATAATCTGGTCGTTCTCCGCCTTACTGCTGCGTAGTGCATTCCTTGAATGCTACAAACTATCAGTACTGGGGCATTGTAATAAACTTGCCAAGGTCTATGAATATGGAGTTTGGCGTATGGGTTAGTTGTTTCCCTGAATTCACGAGGCTTGTATATGGGCTTTATCAGGCTGACGTTTCGGCCGAACCACCTTCTTCAGAGCCCAAAAGGTTCGTTGCAGATTGGACTATTCGAAAAAACATCTCCACCACCCCTTGTAGCTCGAGACCCCCAGTGCACGCATATTATTTGAAGGAGGTTCACTCAATGTAGCGTTGGTGAAAATACCCGGAAATCTACGCAGCAACCGACCAGTGTCGCGTGGGGCAGGTCTTTATTCAAAGCCACTGTAGAAAGGCCAACCTTCTATAAGACCCTAGCTCCTGCTTCGTTAAGTGCATTCTTACTTACGATCATTTTTGATGACCTGTATCAAAGTATCCTGGTTGTTTTAGGTGGGCAATATTGTGACGCTTGTGCCATGGTTTCCACGGTGACCTTAAAAGTGCATCCGTTAAGGCTTCGAATTTGGTGGTTCTCCAGGGTGGTTGATTCCTTCGATCGATTCATACCATCTATGGGCTCCTTAAACCTCAGTGAAGTAGACTTGCCATTTCGCAGAAATGTCCATCACCACAAGTCTTACAAGTGATTTTACAGACCAAATCAGACATGATACATCACCCTCTCTGCCAGCCAGACGAATACACCGTTGAGGTAGTACTTAGACGAGCGTATGGCATGTTCCGAACCAGGCGCTTCTTGAAATTTTAGTGGTTCGTTTACAATGGCAGCGAAATTTTTCAAACCCGGCCACGTTAAACATTCTAGTGGTGTCACTGATCTCATCAAAAATTAATGGTTGTACAAAAGAAAAAATACGGAGCTTGGCCTCTGCACGGGTCAAGGTCTTCATACTCAGGATGGGATAATTCTTGTGATTAGGTTAGACTCCCAACTGCCTAGAAAGCTGAAGAAAAGCCTATCCAGAATGATATTGGACGTTCGATTGCTGAAGGCTGCAATTATCCGGGAAGCGCTTCCTCTGAGCTATTGGGCAAGTAGAAAATGAATTAAGCAATGGAAACTGCACGCGTTTTTTCCAGCCGCCTAGGAGTTGAGTGAATTGGGTCAGTATGGATGAGGACTCGGACGATGACAGACACTTGCAAACCACTAAAAATAGAGATTCGTAACCTAGGTCTAGAAAACCTTGACCGTGGGGTTGGATGTATTTGGAATGGGCAACTCTATGTATTTAATGCCAGAGCTGGAGCGTAAAGAGCATTGAGGCGCCGACCTTGTGGACAAGACAGATTTCGAGGTCGGAGGAATTATGATAGAGCAACGCTGCCGACACCACCAGGTAACTAACTACCCCACTCATTACTCTCGTGTCCTTGCCCGAAGTCCTTTTTCATTGCGTCGTATATGTTCCGATTACGGAAAATCATTTGTAGAACCCAAAACTACCAAGGGACACCGAAAGTGGGAAGTTCCAGGGGAAAGGCTTTTCTTTATACTTCCATGTGTTATTTAGCTTATTTATTCTTTGTTGACAATATCCGCTTTCTTTTTATTTCAGTACAATAGTCATAACCTCATGAAAAAGACCATTCCATGTCACGGGTCGCGAACGTTAACAAGGAAAGGCCCGTCGAGGTTAACGGGCACATTCTTGGCAATTCCTTAACTCCTCCTACAAGTTCTAGCGACCCGTACGAGTTTCTTCAACCTTGAGATCGCTTAAAAGGTCTTTAGGGTTGCTGTACAGCAAATTAAGCCTTCTAGTTGCCGAGCACTGATCTGTGAGCAACGAATCGTCTAACGATGCAAGGTTGCGTTTACATGAGTGACTACCCAACGAATGATGCGGACAGTTGGATCGGATTTACTAAAATGATGGAAATTTGGCGGACTAGCCGCCGGTCGATGTGGAACTCTTGGTAGTATCACCCACAGGTGAGGGACAAAAGGAAGCAAAGGTACTTTGCATAGTAAACTCTAAATAAATAGTTTCAGCATGGAAACTGATAATTAATGGATTTCGGTGAACCAGAGAGCTGGGATGAAGATAATCTTCAGACGTTCGAGCGATTCCATCAAAGATTCACTGTGCATCGCGATATTCACTTCCTTGCAAAGATGAGCCCTTGAGAACAGTCCAAGAGTTGTGCTTTCTTCTATTAAAAGGCGAAATTGGAATGTCGGCAAATTTAATTTGCGGATGGGGGACGGAAGGGCTTCTCATTGTGATTCGTGAGTGAGACCAGACCATGTCGGTCATAGCGAGCCACTATTTCACCTCCCACAAAGACCTTCTAAGCAACCTGGACCTTTAGAGGCCTCACTACGGTTCTGAATGGAACTGCGGAGATGCATCAGAAACATGGGAAAATCAGATTTCTATCAAAGATTTCCCCAATTGCATATTGAGCTCTCGAGTTCAGTATCGATACTTGGTTAATGGCAAGGATGCATTTCAACTACGCCCTTTAGTGACTGTTCGTTCAGAGTTGTTTTGGTAGATGGGGCAAGGGAACTGAAATTGGAAATTAAATGACAGACGAGGATGAAATGAGACTGCCAATGAGATGGGGTGAAAGAATTACCGATCCCGCTGAATTTTTCGTTTCTCTAGCCAGAATAGTCAGTGTAGATATCGAATTTCAATGAAGGAAAAGAAAAAGAGAAGAGTGGACGAAACTTCATGCCAAAAAGCCATCATACTTCACATGTGTTGAGAGCACATTCCTTCATGAGGAAAGGATCAGAAAACAGTGAATGAAACTTCTCCAATGTCCCAAATTCCGCCCAAATGGCCCAAGGGCCCAAATTCCGGGCTTAAGGTTGTGTTCGTACTGTGGATGATGAGAATATTCACAGTCACAGAAACGCATATTGTACCATGCGGTTGGAAGGATACATCTGGAAGGAAGAAGGAAGAAGAGGGAACGAAGGAAGAAGGAGGGAAGGATCGAAAGGATATTACCTGATAGCGAATTTGCGGCTATAAAAACACGTACGGCATAAATAGTTTTCCAAGGATAACATTTCCTGAGTATATCCCTGGACTTGGAAATTGTTCCCAGTGGACACAACCACGATGTACATATTGGAATGGGTGCACAGACGTGAACCTTGATCTCAAGTCTTCAGGACCTTCTCTATGGCTGAATAAACCGAAAAAGGACTACGAAATCGAGTTTGACAGCGAATAAGTAATTTAGGACCGTGAGGCATCGATCCGAATTGCTCTCTGGTGCTTTGCTCACTGCCGTCTTGGAATACTGACAACAAACAAACAGCGTTCAATAAACTCACATGGGTCCCTGGTCATCGTATCGATAGTCGGACCTGCGATAGTCCTCGATTGTCCGTTGTACGGGTATTCGTTCGTTAGACAACGGAATGTATCTGTAAGAGGCACTTACGGTTTCAGATTTCTCCCGGAAACTCAGCGTGAAAGCATTTCAAACCTGCTCCGAGCAGGAGGTTGTCCTCGGGTCCACCTCTCTTCCTCAACACGTTCACGATTCTTAAAACAAACAGAATATAGAATATCCATTAGATAGAATATTGCTCCTAAAAGAGTTCTGGATCAGCAACAAATAAATAATAGGGTCCGGAGACGTGTAGGAATGGATGGCAGGACAGATGTAGGCTTTGCAGTTGACGACGAAATGCCGTTAATGGACACGCTATGGCCGGGGGGAAACAACACACAGACACGCACGCCGCCAGTTTCGGTCGCAATCAACGCTCTGAAATAGTCTTGAGGACGAGGAGGGTGAAGAAGAATGAGGGAGAGCAGGAGAAGGAGGATGGCCGAAGCTGTTTTTGAGTAAGGGATCATCCCCAAAAAAAGCCCAGTCATTACTTGACTTGAACAGCACGCGACAACAACGCGGACTATCTACGATTCCAGAGTTATTTGAGGCTCACAGACCGCTTGCATGTGGACTTATCTGCCCTTCTCTTCCACCCCTGCTATTATGGAAATGGTTCCACAGTTGGGCAGAGCAATTAGGGCAGGATTACACAGGAAGCAGGAAGCCAAGCATATAACAATCGGTAGATGAATTCGGGTGGCATTCATCTGAAAGACTGCTCCGGAATCGATTGTCCACTAATTTCATTTTCCACTATTATACCTCCTCTTGTTTTCTGTATCCACAAACTCGGAAAAAGATGGCTTTTGGGGAATTGAAAATAATTCCAGCACTCATAAGAAAAAGTCAATGGCTCAGGACGAAAATAGCCCTCTTCACGACATGAAAGCTGACGTATGGTCTGGAGAATTTGGTTACAGACCATAAAAGTAGGCCTATAGATTGCTACCCTCCTAACTATCAATTATGTGAACAGAAAATTCGCCTGGAACATGCTCCAAGAGAACGATCAAATCGGGATGGGTTGCGGATGAGATCGAAGATGAGAAGCACTGCTATTGCTGAGCAACATAAATACAACTTGAAGGCAGAGCTCACGATAATTTCGGAGTATCCAGATCGAGATGAATAATGTAAGCCAAGGTCGAGAAAAGTGCGATGGTGTCGAAGAAAACACGGGATCGGCGCTCAAAAGGAAATAAAAAGAATCAAAAAGCGATAAAATCGGGATTGGACTAGAATAAAACAAAAAAAAA